TTTAATTATTTTAACATAACTAAACTAAAAATGGTCAAAAATTCAAAAATGTTGAGATTCACTTCTATAACTCATCTGTTTTTCTTTTCAAAGATCTCAGAACTGTTTAAACTGAACACTTTCTGTTTGCTCCTAATGACTGTCACTACTGCAGCAACTTTCACACCAGTCCAGTCTCACACGTTGGTCAGACACCAGCTGCATTGCCCATCCGGCCAGAGGGTGGCGCCACACCAGCTCTTCATCCAGCAGAGCTCCACTCACAGACAGGTCCAGCCCATTGCGCTGCGTGTCACGCCGCAGGACAGCTCTCCTCCACCCCTCGCCCTGCAGACCCGTACCACTCCCACAACAGCCACTGTCCAATCACAGCACACTGAGTTCCTCTCAGTGCCCTCCTCTTCAAATCAGTCGGCCAATCAGTCAGCAGTGGTGTCTACGTCCACAGCTCCCCCTGCAGTGCTCCCTGACCCTCCACCGCTTCATCTGGGCCCAGTGCTAGAGCCGGTCTCCCAGTATTCACCTCTGTCCAGCCCCCCTCCTCTCACCATGGCTCTGCCCAGGCTGGTCCAGCCACAGAGACTGTCTCTCCGCTCAGTCCAGACCGTAGCTGTCCAGTCTGACCACATGCTGGTGTCTGAAGAGGAGTTCCCAGTCGCTGAAGCAGTGGTTCAGTTGCCTTTTCAGAATCTGCCGCCACCACAGACAGTGGCAGTGGATCTAAAGGTGCAACCTGCCACACAAACAGTAGCTCGCTTGGTTAGTCTTATCAAAGCTATTCAATTCTGTCATAATTTACTCACAATCATTTTGTTTGAAACCTTATTTTATTTTACAGTGGAAGGGAAAGGGGATATTTGTATGTAAGGAGTGTCCAGACTGTTCTTTTCCATAAAAGAACATTTAAACGTGACCAGTCACTTGATAGTGGACAGGCATGAATGAATGAAATCAAAAGTTTTTTTAGTGACCAACAAATTTCAGTCTTTTCCACATACAAAGCTATCATATGATTACAGAAGACTCAGAATATAATATAATACACATAAAATACATTTATGACTTGTATAGATTACATTTATGATGTTTATTGTGCTTTTTTGGGTTTTCTTTGAAGCTACACTAGTCTACATAAATAAATTTAGGATCCGTAAGAATTAGTTTTTTAAAGAAATTAATACTTTTGTTTAACAAGGATGCATTATATTGATCAAAAGTGACAGTAGAGATGTTTACATTGTACAAAAGACTTCTGTTTCAAATAAATGTTTTAAAACAAAAAATAAAACTTTCTATTGATGAAAAAATCTGGAAACTGTCTTCAGCATTGATAATAATGTTGCTTGAGCACCAAATCAGCATATTAGAATGATTTCTGAAGGATCATGTGACACTGAAGACTGGAGTAATGGCTGCTGAAAATTCAGCTTTACCATCACAGAAATAAATTACATTTTAAAATACACTTGGATAGGACAGTTACTTTAAATTGTAACAATATTTGTATAATTATTACAATTAAATAAATGCCTTGGTGAGCAGAAGAGACTTCTTTCAAAAACATTTAATATTTTACCAACCCCAAACTTTTAAATGGTTGTGAATAGTTGAATGAAAAAGAGCAACTTCTTATTCTTCAGAACCAGTAAGAGTTTTTACACCGTTAAAATAGTGTAAATAGTTATAATTTTTGTCTTTGTCTTTTAAATGTCCTTTCAAAATAATCAATATTTCATCATGTCACATTCATTTTATTTAGACAGGATTTTTAGTCATAACTTTAGACTTATGATGAAAATATCCTTTTTTCATGTAGTTTTCATTTATTTTAGTACATTTTACTCTTAAAATGCCATCTGACTGTAGTTGATGAAAATGTTTCTAAATCAGTTTAAACATATTAACCTTTAACAAAAACAACATGTGAAAACTTTTTGAATTCTTTATTTAATTATCATCATGATCCACCTGTCTTCACTATCACTGACAAAAAAAAAATAGCCGATGAGATTTAAGGTACTTGCACACCGAATTTTTGGACGACAATTTCAGACTCACTGAAAACACTGAGGATAAGTAAATGATGACAGAATATATTTTGGGTGAACTATTCATTTAAATATACAATTTTAATCATTATGCTTATTATGAAATTTGGCAGGCAACACCGCTGTTGAAGGGGAGTGGAAGCATGGATTTGGTGAAGGATGTAGAACGTGTGCGTCCTCAGAACAGAAAGCCCACCCCGCCATCACTGTCCCCACCAGACGAGCCCCAGGGAAGCTCTGGTGATGTCACAGCACAACCAGGAAACTGTACAGGTATCTGACATATACACTTTATATTAAAGACTATTAAAGTAGCCTGCAGAACTCTAACCTGACTTGTACTCTAACCATAGCTGATCTGGACCAACCGAGCGAACCATCGAGCAGATCTGGGATCCGGTCACCGGAGGACGCCACATATGCCACCAGTCCCCCCCCTCCCCTCCTCTCCTCTGCGGTAAGAAGCACCAGCAGGCTTCCCCCAGCCAGCCTTCCAGGGAACCCTGAGGGTCGGCCCTCACAGGCCATCGTTAGACCTCACATCCTCACACACCTCATTGAGGGCTTCGTCATCCGAGAGGGCCTGGAGCCGTTCCCGGTATGTCCACTGGTTGGCAACGTAGCAACTCACAGCTGCCATGAGGCCCTAATGAAGCCCATGGTTCTCTAGTGTTGTCGTGAAGCTCAAAGATCCCTCACTCCCTGAGAGCAGAGAGTAAGACGGCCCGGTGAGGGTCTGGGGCCAAGCATTCAGATCAACCAGTTATTAAAGTCCCCGCTACAAAGTGCTCCATACTTTCAGAAGTCGAAACCACAAAAAGCATCTCAAAAAATATGTCTGGTAAGTCCACTATTGATGTGCTGGTCCTTTTATATCAGGTGAGACGTACTTCCTTAGAGATGAGCCTGCAGGCCACACTACCAGAAGATAGCGAGAACGGAGAATCACCCCAGGATGACTGCCTGATGGATGCGGACCATCTGGAGAACTCCACCGATTCCGACCTTGATAACCCACCCGCTGAGGATGGTGGGCTCATTAGCACATTTCTTAGTAACAAATTGAGTCATTATGAGCATTTCTTGCAGAATTTCTTCTTTTTTTTTCAGAACAGACAGTTGAAAACGTGCCTGACGTACTCGAATGTGAGTTCTGTGGGAAGAGAGGCTTCGCTCATACCTTCCTCAGGTCCAAACGCTTCTGCTCCATGACATGCGTCAGAAGGTAAAGAGCACTATGGGTAGTGTTAATCACTCTTTTTGAAGTTTGTAGTGTCAGTGGAATTATTATAATTACTTTTAGGATTATTATTGCTCATACTTTAGGTTCAATGATTGTTCTAAACCTCAGTATTGAACTTGTTTAAAACAGTTGTGCTGCCTAATATTCTTTTGTGAAAACCATGATGCATTTCTTTTAAGGATACTTTGATAAATAGAAAGTTCAAAAGAACAGCATTTATTTGATATTGATTTTTTGTAACAGTTTAAAAGTCTTTACTGTCAGTGTTGACCAATTAAATGCATACTTGCTGAATAAAAACAAATGAATTTTGTCTTACTAACCCCAAACTGTTGAACAGAAGTTCATATACTCTCATTTCTGTAAGAATGTATGCATATAATGAGGAAAACACATTTAAGATATTTGCCTTTTTGCCAGTCCAATTTGATGTACACTTAGTTTTACCTAAACAGAATTTAGCAAGTTTGTGTTCATAAAACTGTATACTGCAGCACACACAACCTTGTTCATCTCTCACACCTTACAGATTCAATGTAAGCTGTAGAAAGCGCCTTAACCTGTTCAGGTCAGAAAAAGTTGGCCGCTGGCCCCACAGGCCCATGGGCAAGCGGGGGAGACCACCTAGTCGCATAAACAGCGGGTCCAGGGAACACTTCCTCAGGCAGGTCAGTGAAATAACCATTTAACCAAAATATACAATCCAATGCAATAGCATAATTAATAAGTGAGAGTGGCCTACTGTACCACTTTATTTCCTTAGCAGCTGCAAGACTCCCATCGTACCAACGACAACCAGAGGGCCTCCAATTCAATCTGGATAGAGAGAGAAGAGGAGGAAGATCCACCAGGACCGATGACGACAAGACTGCGCTTGCAGGCCGAAAGAGAGAAGGAGCAAGACAGAGAAAGAGAACAGAGCAGAGTGGAGAGCAGCAGCGGCTCTGACTGTCTTCTTGACTCAAGTCCCTCACAATGGAGCGTGGAGCAAGTGTGCTCCTTCATCAGCTCTTTACCAGGTAGCTGCACAGCTAAATTCAGCTTTGGACCACCAGGAATAAATTGCTAATAGATTTCTATATGATCTTTAGAATCATATGCTAATCTTTGCATCTCCTCCACTTGCTCTAAGGGTGCCATGATATTGCTGCAGAGTTCCGGTCACAGGAGATTGACGGACAGGCCTTGTTGCTGCTTAAGGAGGACCATCTCATGAGCGCTATGAACATTAAACTGGGCCCTGCGCTCAAAATCTGTGCACAGATCAGTGCTCTTAAAGAACATTAGACGTCTTTCCACTCTCAGTATGTGGGTCACACAGTATTCGAGAGTCAGGTTCCTCTAAAGTGCCATGATTTCAGCGTGTGGCCATTCTACAAATACTGTAGACACTCGTGGGGATCTTCTTCATATACCTCAAAGTTTCATGGTGGACTTATCTTGGATTTCATTCCATTCAGTGACAAGTTTTATAATATCTAAAACTAAGTTCTGATCTTCTATATTACATTTATAGTAAACAGACCAACTAGAAAGGCAGATTATGAAGAATGAGCGATGATGTAGCTGAGCAGCCAGTTTGTGGAAGTTGGCGCACAATGTACGAAGTATTAAAATTAATAAAAAAAATTTACACAACACGGTTTAAATATAAAGAAACGCTTTTCAAATGATGTAAAGGTTTACAAAAATACAGAGTATATAATGTGTTGAAAAATAAAGATTTATTGATAAACATCAATTGCAAAGTCCTGAATACAATATTTATGTACATTAGACCAGAATTCAGTTGCCGTAAAATGCAACAACTTTGGCATCTTTTCGTATATCGATGTAGAAAAAGCTACGCACAGAAAATTACTGTGAAATGTGAGGTGGCTAAAAATGGCAACACTTTTTAGAGACATCAGCCGTGTAGATTGTAAATGCAGCTTGACAGGGTTCAGTTAGATACAAACACCCAAGGACACACATTTTCAAAACAAGTAGCAACCACATGGGTTTTAGTTAATCTGAGGAATATTACATTATTTTTTAATTATGTATTTATGTATTAGCACAAGGTATTTACTTATTATGCACTGCACACATTAAAAGCACCATATTTTGCTGACTTTAGCATCATAGACATACCATTCAGCTCATAAAGTCTCAGAGATTTGATAAACATTTAATATCAGATTAATTTACAATCAACAGCAAAATCTTTTTTGCCATGAACACTCATTCAATTCAACCATCATTCAATTAATTTTCTAATATACTATAAGAAAATATATTGAAAACATTCCTATTTATAAAAATATGAACAGAATTCATAAAAGTTCTTTTTTTTTTTTTTTAATTGAGGGGCCGTCACTGCCTATGATGCCGGGTGATTTCCTTGAGCTTCATCTGCTGTTCAATCATCATGTCAAACTCCTGTCTTTCTCTAAATCACAATGAAATAAAAACAGCTGTAAGTTGCACAGATGCAAGATTAGTTTTTTCAGGGCAAGTGAGTTCACAAGTACTCTACCGGTTACTAAAGCACGGCCCTCTGTGATATTTCTCCTCTGCCTTCTCCAGGGAAAGCTTGTGGACTCCAGCGATGGCATAGATTATGGCCTAAAAAGCAAAACGGTCACTGAAACAAGTGGTTGTTTGGAAGTATTAGACACAAAGGTTTGGAGTCTGCAGGATTTAAAAATAATAATATTTCTACTTTTATTTAGCGAGGATGCATTAAATTGATCAGAAGTGACAGTAAAGTCTATTACAAAGCATTTTTATTTCAAATAGCTGGTGTTATTTGAACTTTCTATTGATCAAAAATATCATGGTTTCCACAAAAAATTAAGCAGCATATCTATTTTCAGCAGTGATGATAATATTTCACTGAGCACTGAATCAGCATATTTGAATGGTTTCTGAAAGATCATGCGACACTGAAGACGAGTAATTATGTTGAAAATTCAGATTTGCCATCACAGGAATACATTACATTTTAAAATACAGAAAATAGTACAGTTATTTTACACCGTAATAATATTTCACAGTATTACTGTTTCTACTGCACTTTTGATCAAATAACTGCAGCCTTCGTGAGCATAAGAGACATTTTTCAAAAACATTAAACCTTACAAAGTCCAAATGGTAGTGTAAATGAAGGAGATTACCTCAGGCAGAAGCACATCAAGAATAAGGCGGATCCGGTCGGCCTGGATGTTTTCTAGACAGGTGTTTATTTGAGGAGCACTATCACAGACTTTGTTCAGGTAGTGGTAAACCTCATCAACCTGCTCCTCATCTTCCAGGTAGACACCAACCACTCGGCAAGAAGGCTTCTGGAGGGCTTGCATCCATTTAGAGGACTCACGACCACTAATGACTGCCTGTGAGCACCGGACAGAAGAGTTAGCTGTCTGTCTTAATGGAATGAACATGTATCAAATTTGAAAAACACTGGAATTCTAAATACATGTATGAGTATATCAGTCGAATTTGTACCAATAAGCGGTTTTCGACTTTTCGTCTGATGATGAAGTCAACCAACTGCTTGTTGGCGCGGTTGCGTGCAGTCTCGGATCGGTCAGGCAGCACTTTCTTGGAGTGAAGCTCATCTTGCTCTTCCACGACGATGTCCTCCGCGTTATTATCAGAGCCGTCACACTGCTCGCCCAGAATCTCCTGACTGGGGAAGGTGAGCACAGATTTCCCCTCGGAGTACTTCCTCCGCACTGGACAACCTGGAATCATCGGATTAAGGGACCATTTCTGTTAAACCAGCACTGGTGAATGAGAATTACTTGATTCATAATGAGATTATAAACTGGTTTACGTTGAGTAGGGACATTGAGTGATTGTAAATTTTCATAGTCAGCTATCATTAAAATTAACAATCAATTAACTGATTGTTAAAGTACCATAAAACATGGAATACTACAAATAATATCGGCATGCACTATTTAATCTTAATGTAAGTATTGGAAATGTTTTTTACAAATTTTAACATTAATTTATTACTGTTACTCACAGGAACTTAAATTAATAATTATTATTACTATTTTATTGATTAATACATTAACCACCTATAATATGTTATAGTTTTTATTTGTGCAGATTTAGAGAGTAAAGTGCCTTAAATCTTACATTTTAACAAGTAATTAATTAGCACCCCTAACATGCAATTAAAAACATGTCAGATGTGTATGAAAATCTATAATGAAAGGAAACCTACTGATGTCAGCAGCACAGTATTCGATGAAGGAGCCAGAGAAGGATCCACATCCTGCCAGAAAACATCTGAATTTCAGTTTTTCAGAAAACAGTTTTTGTAAATAAATTGCTGTTTGAAAAGGTGACTATTATTTCTAATTTACTAAAATGTTTAAATGTTCTAAAAGAAAAAAACAAACAAAAAAACACTGATAGATAAATACCAATGCGGATCCTATAGTCTGATATCAGTTCCAGAGACCAGGTAATAGAATTGCCATACTTCTCTTTTGCAATGTCCTAAAATGGATACATAAAACAAATATACCATTTCTTTAAAAATTGTCTTGAAGTATGCTCAGTACAGCAAATGTTGACTAATGGAAAAAAAATGAAAACAGTGAGCATGCACACTGAAAAAGCAAAATAATGTGGTAAGAAGTCAAAGAGATGTCACTTTACCACCAAATGTTCACATTCTTCACAATCAAAAGGTTTTAAGGTTCGCAGGGAAACAGAAAACCTACGGATAAAAAAAGGGTTGTTAAGATGTCAAATTTATTATGTGATTTACTATAAATACACAAATATAAGTGATATTAAAATACTGATAAATTCTTACCCTTTTCTAATTCTCTTCTGGTCGATTAGGTAACAATCAATAAATACAATGCTGGCTTTTTTGTTCTTGCAATTCACACTTTTAACCTGTGGCATGGATGAACAACTTGTCATCAACTACAGTCTAAAATCAAGAGTTACAAACTGCACAAAATCCATAGTGTGCACAGTGAGCTTAACTTACCACTGCAGGCCAGTAGGGATATTTCCTCAGTTTGCACCACACGCAAAGTCCCTTTGAGATTGACAAAGGGTCTGGAAACCAAATATATCAAAGCACATATTGGATACATATACACACTTTTTTCTTGTTTTTATTGCTCACTCACTTTTATGGTCCTGTTGCAAAAAGCTGGGCAGCTCCTCATCATCGTCGTCTAGGTCCTCTTCCTCCTCCATGAAGAGAGAGTTGTTAAGAGGATGAGGCTTCTCTTGCAGATTCGGCTCAATGGAGAGGTCAGAGGACATGTTTTGATCTGATGGGTACATAACATTACAGTGACTGATTTCAAAAGACAACATCATATATTTGAGGCTCCATTTACAATTATTAACATTAACTTACCTTATTTATGCATATTTATGATAAAGACACAATAACTTTTTGTCACGATGTTGAATTTGTAACATTGCATATAAATTTGTTTGTTTTTTGTAATTGAATGCTTAATTATTTTATTAGATTAATACAATGTAACTGAATAATCATTATTAATATTTTGGATATTTAAATAAATATTTACTTCAATTACTATTAATAGAATGACAGTTTTGGTGTCCACATCAAATTAAATTCATAACCGATTTTACATACATATCAAGCTTATTAAATGTAAGTAAAGTGTCTACTTTAATGCTTCAATAAACTTGTGGGAAAACAAAATGTCAAAATATGTGTGAAATTATTCAGCATAACAGATATATTTATGTAAAAATGACAACATACTTATTCTGACCTGTACTTATTATAACATATAAAAGAAAAAGTGATACAAATTTTACGTTTTTTTTTTTTTTTTTTTACTTTTTATTATTTATTACAGGGTGTCTTCTGTAAATCATGTTTAATAAAAAAAAATTGTTTCCGAAAAAATTAAATGAGACAGGACATACAGAAAAAAAAAAATACATTTTTAAAGTGATCAAATGTATCAAGTGTAAATACCAGGCACATGCCAGACTATATTATTAAAATTTTTATAAAGACAAAAAATGCCATGTACCTGATTCCTGTGGCTCTTGCATCTGGGTTTTAATGTGAGCTTCATTTGGAGGCGGCGTCTCAACAGCTGGCTTTTCCTGAGGAGATTCTAGATCAGATGTTGCACTCTTCCTGCATTGTTTTACTGATGGAGAGACAATTAGCTGTTCCTCCACGCTCTTTTTCTTGCGACCTCTTGGCCTCCCTACTGCCACGAGCCTCTGAGGTCTAGATGGTGTAACGTCTGTAGGAGGCGTCTAACAGGAATACCACATGAAATAGTTAAGCCACAAATTTCACACAACAGTTATCAAGCGATAATGCAATAATGATTGTCACACAAACCTTTACTCGACTGGACTCTTTGGCATTCTGATGACTATGTTGTGTGCAACTATTCTTAGCTCTTTTTGGAGATAGGGGTTGGAGATCTGAGGTCGGTGTGGAGCTGAAGAGAGGCCTGGTCCGGGGCCTGCCCCGTTTCGGGGTGCATGGTATAAAGCTACAATCACCGTTAGTGTGGCAGGAGGAGATCTCCTTGTCATGAAGAGGAGATGTAGTACATGTGTGAAGCCCTGAAGAAACATCAGAGGGAGTCTGATTGTTTTGAGTTTTTTTAGAGTGCCGATAACGTGTCCCTTTTGTTTTTTGAGAGCGTAAGTGTTGTTCTGGGCAATAATCGTGTTCAGAATGGTCCAGTCTGTTGGAACAAGCTTTGCTAGCAGCTACTTCTTTCTCACTGGGTCGGTGAGACCCAACTTTTTGTCATGATGTTGAATTTGTAACATTGCATATAAATTTGGTTTTTTTTTTTGTAATTGAATGTTTAATTATTTTATTAGATTAATACAATTTATGTAACTGAATAATCATTATTCATTTTTGGGATATTTAAATAAATATTTACTTCAATTACTACTACTAGAATGAAATAGTTTTGGTGTCCGCATCAAATTAAATTCATAACTGATTTTACATACATACAAAGCTTATTAAATGTAAGTAAAATGTCTACTTTAATGCTTCAATAAACTTGTGGGAAAACAAAATGAGTGAGAAATTATTCAGCATAACAGATATATTTATGTAAAAATGACAACATACTTATTCTGACCAAGCGGCAACTGGCCGCTAGAGGCTGGCTGCAAAAGGGAGTCAATTCCATAGACTCCCCATGTTAAAATGCCCAACATTACAGCAGAAAAAAAAACATGTTTACAACCTCGTTCAAAAAATTATTTTGGTCTATATAGCTAATTTTGCCCTTCATGACAACTGTGAGGGGGGGGTGAATGTTTTTATAACTCATCCGTTTAAATTATATTAAGCCTTAAAGTTCTGCATAATTAAGGGCGTGGCCACTTGAGTGACAGGTGGATTGCCGCTGCTGTCACCACCGTCGAGCTAGGTGGGCGTGGTTTCAGCAGCCAGCTCCCGCCTCTTTGCCCATTTTCGATTATCCGAGAGTGGCGCGTGGTGACACACTGCCAAGATGGCGATGGCTGGCTCCGCCTACTTTAGGCTTCAAAAAGCTCGTTGGAAGTCTACGGGTTACGTCACGGACACTACGTCCATGTTTTTATACAGTCTATGATTCCGACCTGTACTTATTATAACATATCAAAGAAAAAGTGCTACAAAATGTAAGTTTTTTTTTTTTTTACTTTTTACTTATTTATTACAGGGTGTCTTCTGTAAATCATGTTAAAAAAAAAAAAAGTTCTCCGAAAAAATTAAATGAGACGGAAAATATACAGAAAACAATAAAAAAAAAAATAATAATTAAAAAGTGATAAAATGTATCAAGTGTAAATACCAGGCACATGCCAGACTATATTATTGAAATTTTTATAAAGACAAAAAATGCCATGTACCTGATTCCTGTGGCTCTTGCATCTGGGTTTTAATGTGAGCTTCATTTGGAGGCGGCGTCTCAACAGCTGGCTTTTCCTGAGGAGATTCTAGATCAGATGTTGCACTCTTCCTGCATTGTTTTACTGATGGAGAGACAATTAGCTGTTCCTCCACGCTCTTTTTCTTGCGACCTCTTGGCCTCCCTACTGCCACGAGCCTCTGAGGTCTAGATGGTGTAACGTCTGTAGGAGGCGTCTAACAGGAATATCACATGAAAAACAGTTAAGCCACAAATTTCACACAACAGTTATCAAGCGATAATGCAATAATGATTGTCACACAAACCTTTACTCGACTGGACTCTTTGGCATTCTGATGACTATGTTGTGTGCAACTATTCTTAGCTCTTTTTGGAGATAGGGGTTGGAGATCTGAGGTCGGTGTGGAGCTGAAGAGAGGCCTGGTCCGGGGCCTGCCCCGTTTCGGGGTGCATGGTATAAAGCTACAATCACCGTTAGTGTGGCAGGAGGAGATCTCCTTGTCATGAAGAGGAGATGTAGTACATGTGTGAAGCCCTGAAGAAACATCAGAGGGAGTCTGATTGTTTTGAGTTTTTTTAGAGTGCCGATAACGTGTCCCTTTTGTTTTTTGAGAGCGTAAGTGTTGTTCTGGGCAATAAATGTGTTCAGAATGGTCCAGTCTGTTGGAACAAGCTTTGCTAGCAGCTACTTCTTTCTCACTGGGTCGGTGAGACCCAACTTTTTGTCATGATGTTGAATTTGTAACATTGCATATAAATTTGGTTTTTTTTTTTGTAATTGAATGTTTAATTATTTTATTAGATTAATACAATTTATGTAACTGAATAATCATTATTCATTTTTGGGATATTTAAATAAATATTTACTTCAATTACTACTACTAGAATGAAATAGTTTTGGTGTCCGCATCAAATTAAATTCATAACTGATTTTACATACATACAAAGCTTATTAAATGTAAGTAAAATGTCTACTTTAATGCTTCAATAAACTTGTGGGAAAACAAAATGAGTGAGAAATTATTCAGCATAACAGATATATTTATGTAAAAATGACAACATACTTATTCTGACCTGTACTTATTATAACATATAAAAAAAAAAGTGATACAAATTTTACGTTTTTTTTTTTTTTTTTTTCTTTTTTTTATTTTTTACAGGGGGTCTTCTGTAAATCATTTTTAATAAAAAAAAATTTTTTCCGAGGTGACACACTGCCAAGATGGCGATGGCTGGCTCCGCCTACTTTAGGCTTCAAAAAGCTCGTTGGAAGTCTACGGGTTACGTCACGGACACTACGTCCATGTTTTTATACAGTCTATGATTCCGACCTGTACTTATTATAACATATCAAAGAAAAAGTGCTACAAAATGTAAGTTTTTTTTTTTTTTACTTTTTACTTATTTATTACAGGGTGTCTTCTGTAAATCATGTTAAAAAAAAAAAAAGTTCTCCGAAAAAATTAAATGAGACGGAAAATATACAGAAAACAATAAAAAAAAAAATAATAATTAAAAAGTGATAAAATGTATCAAGTGTAAATACCAGGCACATGCCAGACTATATTATTGAAATTTTTATAAAGACAAAAAATGCCATGTACCTGATTCCTGTGGCTCTTGCATCTGGGTTTTAATGTGAGCTTCATTTGGAGGCGGCGTCTCAACAGCTGGCTTTTCCTGAGGAGATTCTAGATCAGATGTTGCACTCTTCCTGCATTGTTTTACTGATGGAGAGACAATTAGCTGTTCCTCCACGCTCTTTTTCTTGCGACCTCTTGGCCTCCCTACTGCCACGAGCCTCTGAGGTCTAGATGGTGTAACGTCTGTAGGAGGCGTCTAACAGGAATATCACATGAAAAACAGTTAAGCCACAAATTTCACACAACAGTTATCAAGCGATAATGCAATAATGATTGTCACACAAACCTTTACTCGACTGGACTCTTTGGCATTCTGATGACTATGTTGTGTGCAACTATTCTTAGCTCTTTTTGGAGATAGGGGTTGGAGATCTGAGGTCGGTGTGGAGCTGAAGAGAGGCCTGGTCCGGGGCCTGCCCCGTTTCGGGGTGCATGGTATAAAGCTACAATCACCGTTAGTGTGGCAGGAGGAGATCTCCTTGTCATGAAGAGGAGATGTAGTACATGTGTGAAGCCCTGAAGAAACATCAGAGGGGGTCTGATTGTTTTGAGTTTTTTTAGAGTGCCGATAACGTGTCCCTTTTGTTTTTTGAGAGCGTAAGTGTTGTTCTGGGCAATAAATGTGTTCAGAATGGTCCAGTCTGTTGGAACAAGCTTTGCTAGCAGCTACTTCTTTCTCACTGGGTTGAATGACTTTCTTTTTTCTTCCCTTACGAGACATTTTTGATGTCTCTGATCGACATTTGGGGGTGGTCATTTTTTTAGGCACCATCGGTTCAAGTTCATGTGACTTTGAAGACACCAGTCCATTTAGTTGATGTGCTGATTTCTGTAAACAAGCTGACAAGTCAGGAAGAGCATTTTGGTTTGTTGCTTGAGGTTTCTCCTTCTTGGTTGTTTTCCGTCCATGTGATTCTGCAGAATTCAGCTCTTGAGACACTGTGGTGCCTTTACTATGCAAGATGGAAGCTTTGTCACCTGAAACAGGTTTGTTAAGTTCTGAAGGAACTTCCAAAATGGTGCAATGGGTCCTGTGCGGATTCCTTCGACGGTGAGAAAAGCTCATTCCTTCAACCATAGAGGTCTCAAAACATTGGCACAACCAAGTTTGGTCTCATTATGCGGAGCTGCAAAGAAACCCACAGTGAGGTATATTACTTAATTGTAACCATATGCAACTTGCCATAAGTTTTACAAGGGTACAAATTCACACAGCAACCAAGAGCCTGACAATAAAGCTGATAAACTAAGAGCATTTACTGTAAAGATATAAAACGCATGACGTTAAAAAGCATTAGACTATATTATATATATCAAATAAACTACAAGAAGGTTCCAGCAACTGCATCACAGATTATACTAAACTTAAGTTAGTATTTCAGTTTATAAAGCCGCTGATCGTTTCTGTAAATACTTGGGTTTGCTGAGATACTGGAACTGGCATAACCTAAGTGCTTTAACTTAGCTAAAAATATTCGCAAAAATCAACCTTATAAGAGCCGTATGATGACGGATACAACGATATATACGCTCAAAATGCAACACAAAGTAAGTATATCAAAACCGTCAGACGTGTGTTGACTAGGAGCGCTGTTTGTTAGCATTAGCAGCTCCGTGGAAATCCAACGTAAACACGGTCAGGCAGCGTGTGTTATAGTAACTTACCCTGAATCTGCAGAAGAAGGTTTAGTTCTTGCTGTTTTTTAAAAAGTGTAAAACGAAATAGATTTTTTAATAAAATGCGTCGCTCATGTGAAATATTAGTATCTTAGCTCACTGGATTTTCGTCTGTTTACGAAGTGTTCGGTCGTTCGTTATCAGTTGAACAGCGTTGCTTCTTCTTCTTCTTTTTTGGTGTTTATTGGCGGTTGGCAACCTAATTGACTGGTGCATTACCGCCACCGACTGGAATAAAGTATGGATCAGGATTTTGATTGTAGGACAAAATAAACCATAAAAACCAATAAAAACCAATAAATAAACTAGAAATTAAAACAAAACAAATAAATAAATAAAAACAATCAAAAAGACTATATTCTTTTATATGAGTCGATTTAACCAAATTATGGTGACAAAAAGTCCCAGTGACATGATTATTTTAATCCTCATATCTTGGTGGGTTTTGGGTTTTCTTCTTCTTCTTTAGATTGGTGGCTGACAACCAATTTTAAAGGTGCATTATCGCCATATACTAGACTGGAGTGTGGAGCAGTATATGACAAACAAGGGAACTAATTATATTCTTTCCATCAATCCTGTATTTTGTTTAGGTAAATCATGAGATGTTTGACCACATTCCAAGTACTTCCTTCTAAAAGCTTCTGAACATGAACATTTACAATGTCTTTCTTTAGCATTTGAAACATCTTCTTTCCTCCTCATATTTTCTACATTCCAATAACACATGTAACACTGATTCCGTTACCTCACAATTTTCACACAAATCTGTTGGATGTTTGCCTATTTTGAATATTGTCTGATTCAGTCCAGTATGTCCTATTCTAAGCCAAGTGAACAAAACTTGAACAGCGTTTCAGTTTCAATCAGGAAGTTGTTACCTCTAAAAAAACACACACATGCAAAAGAACAATCTCTCTTTTTTTCTTTCTTTACCCCCCCCCCCTTTCTTTCTTGTGTCAATTTTACAATTTTATATTTAATTCAGTTTGACTTATAATTTGCATTAAATAATTATAAATATAAACCTACACATTTTCAAAGTATGAATAAAAAACAAACAACTTTTAAAAAAGAACTATAAATATGTATCTTATCTTTAAAGGAATAATTTCTGGTATGTCTTGAGAAAAATAATTAATTTAAAAAAATATAAAAAATATCTAATTCAAATATGTTCATATGCACCCAACTTTATTCACACAACAACAACAACAACAACGTATTATTATTTATTTAATTTACAATGGAAATATCTCAGAATGTCTCATTATGAAGAAGACTGTTTCAGTATATTTTATAGCACTTTTCATATACTAATTTAGGCAACTTTAAAAAAGTAAAATATTGTCATGTCATAATGATGATGTTATTATTTTAATAATTATTGTTTTAATCATCCTCATCATCCTTTATTATTATTATTTTCGTTACTATTATATTTCACTTTAGTGTGAAAATATGTCAGATCTCAATATGTAGTATGGTACACCACTTTTCATATGGTTATAGGCTACATATAGTCCAAAGAGGTTGTACTTCCTTCGCCAGCTGAGGAAATTCAACCTGCCACAGGAGCTGCTTAAACAGTGCCCATTACATTATGCTCCTTATTTAAAAAAGTCTTGCATGTTTGCTCTGGTGCATGAGTCTTTGATTTTCCAAAGCTGTTACATTTTTTTTAGGGTCATCTAAAATGGGG